GGAGCAATATACAGGACGAATTTAAAAACGAAGAGGCTATTAATGAATTAAATGAAGTCAGAAAGAGGTACCGCGTTAAAATGGAACCTGTGAAAAAAATCAACGAGCTGACTGGTATCGAAAGTGCCAAACTCCTTTGGTTGATGGATAAATGTCCTTTAATTTTAAAAGAAAGTGCATGTGCTTGCAAAGCTATAAACATCTGTAAAGATCGTAGGTTCGTTCTGGTTGCAGAAAAATTTCCCATGAAAGAACTAAACAGCGACTCAGTTTTCCGACAACTATCGGATGTTGAAGATGAGGAAGATTTGACAAATTTGAACACAAATTTGGAATGTCGGTTCAAAAGTCAAACAATCAAGTTAGAAGAACTTATTGAAGGTCATAAAGGATTCCGGCGGTATATATCCACAGATATATTGTTGGAAATGGTTCAGGGTCCTTATGAGGTAAAAGAACGAGAAGACGAAACTCAAAATTTACAAGAAGAAGCATGGAGTTGATATGTTAGTAGATTTTTGACTCGATGTTTCGTAGATTACAAGTATTTAGTGAACATTAGGAGCGATACGATGATTTTAATCACTTGCTTACCCGACGAACAAGTTCATTCATTGAAGGAAATGTTTAAATTCCGAGATAATGGTAGCATTAAGGACGACCAATGTGTTATCTCTTCCAACAAAAAATGCAGAGTTCTCAGCTACAAACCCACGATATATGTGAGCTCTGACAAATTTTCCTGTCAAGAATTTCGAAAATTTTGTGAAGATATAAGCAACATAAGAAATTGTCACCATTTTAAATTTGATTCTCTAGACAAAACTCTGGAATGGATCGAAACAAAAGGTGACGTATCTGCTTTCCAACAGTATCGTATTCAAGGCAATCTTGGAAAGAAAATTACAGAATGTCAACTGTCCCAACTACACACCGAGAATAATGTACACGTAATAGTGGACGAGCCAGGAATGGGAAAAACATACTTTTTGAAAAAGTTAAAAAGAGATGTTGCAAATTTTGCAATTATTATATCTCCCAAAGATATTTCACGTTTTTATACTTCTTGTCAAAATAAGAGTCAAATTTCATTCCAAGACTTTTTGATAAAATCGAAATTTCACCTTCGTACAGAATTTGATAGATATTTCCTGAAATTTTTGGTAAAAGGTGGACGATTTATGTTTCTGTGGGATGGCTTAGATGAAATACTAGAAAAGGCTTTAAATAAAGTCATTGACATTATATTAATAATTTCCAAGGGCCCTTCAATACAGTGGATAACTTGTCGAATACATTTAGGGAAACAACTTGAAGAAAAGCTAGGGGTGGTGTGTAAACAGATGGTTGGGTTAAGCCATGAACAACAACAGCAATACATGACGAAAAGTTTAAACCAGAAGTGTTCAGCAAACACTGTCTGCGAAGTATTTGAAAAAATCAAATATGCTGGACATGGAAAAATGTTTGGTAATCCGCTACAGTTATTTATGATAACAACGTTATTTGAGAACGACAACGACAAATATATTTCGAAGCTAGACGATTTTAGAGTTATTACTAATTTGTATCGATATTTCGTACAAGAAAAATTTTATTTGTGTGATAAAGAAAAAGCTGAATTGGAGTTTTCAGTCAATCGTACTCGGCATCGAATGTCTCATTATATCAAAAAAACTAGAACGAAGGATTATCAAGCAGCAGCTCTCAAAATCCTTGTAGATGAAAGGATCTTCAGTCAGCTTAATCTCAACTGCAATGAATTCTTGTCAGATGTTGCTTTAAACGGAGACTATGCTGGGTTTATAAGTAGTGTCACGGAAAGTAGATATCCTACGTTTTTAAACAACGCTTATGCTGAATATTTCGCAGCAGATTACCTAGTAAGCAATCGCAAAAACGTTCCAAACTTCGAATTAATTATTTCGAACGTTAAACATGACAATGTTCGTTTGTTCTTCGACATGATGTTAGCTCATAATTGTCCTGCCCACGTTGCAGTCTTATATCAAGATTTGGAAGCTTTGAAGCAGTGTGCCCCTGAACAATTGCGTATAAAAGATGGCGAAGGAAGAAATGCTTTAGAACTAGCTTGTACTTGGGGACAACGATATCCTGTTCTGAAGGTTGCCAAAAAAGATACGACTTATTTTGTTGAGGATTATTCAGATTATAATCTTGAGAAAAACCAGAGACATGAAAAAATCTTAAACTACTTATTAAGTCATTTTAAGGTACAGGAATTGCTTGAAATGAAATGCCTTTTTTTTGCAGAAAAATATGACTGCTTGTTTGTCTTGGCTATGATAATTCAAACATGTAGAACGAAGTTTACCACCCTAAGTGACGACACTGTTTGCAGTATTCTATACTATTGTGTAAAATATGAACGAAGAGATTTTCTCAATTTGTTAGAGGAGAATGAATATGTGTTAAAGATTGTTGCATCTGCAAAGCTGTGGCTACTTTTTGCCTGTCAGAATGGAGACCAAAAATTAGTACGCATTTTGCTTAACTTTGGAGTCGACGTGAATTGCGAGGATGAAGATGGAAGGACGCCTGTTTATTTAGCCGTGTCTCGAGGGCATGAACATGTCACAAATATTTTATTCGACAAAGGAGCCAAACTTAAAACCCTCTATCATAAGAAAAATACTTTGCTACACACAGCTTGCGAAAGTGGCAACGAAGTACTCGTAGAAACTTTGCTACAACGCGGACTGAACATAAACGCATGCAATACCAACAATCTCACACCCCTTCATTTAGCATGCCTGAATGGCTACGAAGGAGTAGTGAAGGTATTAATTAGTAACAGAGCTAACCTCAATGCTTTTGATAAAAATGGTCGCTCCGCACTCTATCTAGCTCTACTCGAAGACAGAGACAACATTGTCAGTTTGTTGATTAAATCTGGAGTCGACGTCAATGCTGCAAACGAAGAGGGTAGAACGATATTGCATCTAGCATCTGAAAATGGTCACTACACCGTCGTCAACAAACTGTTATCTCTGGGGGCAGATCCAAATTGTACTGACAAAAAGGGTTTGAGGCCGTTGCATCTGAGTAGGCAGCAGTCACATGAGGAAACAAGTGAGCTACTTAGTTCTCGAGGAGCAAATGTTAACGCAGTAGAAGAAAACGGTAACAGTGAAGAAAGTTTTGAAGAAGACAGTAACCTAAACCACAAGGTAAGTAATAACAACGGGTTATTAAGAAAGAGAAAAGATTTTGAAGTTAATCATGCTTTAAGTCGAGTTGTTCAAATAAGGCCCACTTAAGGTTTGATAATACTTAGTTGTAATTTTTACGACAACCTACGTCATCCCTATGTTTGTTAGTGTTCCTTATACGGGAAAGATATCCTGACATTTTACTACTTTTCGAAATTACATTGTCAATGTCGCAGTAAACTCTAAATATGCTATTTGCACAGGCTATTTGGACAACTTACCTTAATTGATTTGGTTTTACTTGAAAATAATCAGTCGTCTGTATCTTTTAGGAATTTCAAAAAAGAACGAATCTGGCTAGAGACTATAAAAACATGGCTATTGTTAAAATTGCATTTGATATGCTGATCACAGATCAAATAAAAGATTTCCATATTTGTTTAAAAAATAATTACCCTGCTATGTTCGACGATATAATCATTGAAGTATGCATCGATGATAGAACAGAAACAAAAGCTCTATTTATCGGATGTAGTGATCAAAGTACTTTAAGTTTCCCACAACTGTTAAAAAAGTTTAGTAAAATCAGCCTTCATCGATGCTTTGAATATTTCCAACGAATGCAAAACAGCACACAAGAATTTATATTTTTCGTCGACCACCCGTTTGTAACTACCGACGATAAAACCTTTCAACTAGTAGGGAAAGATTTTTACATAACACTTAATGAGGTGCCAATTCCAGAGCAAGGCAGCATAAGAATATTTCACGACATAACCCACTGTTACAAACTGCAGATTGTAGAAGACAAGTGGAACAAGCAAAATTTTGCAAGAATTGAGAACTACAGATCGTTTTTTGAAAAGTTTATCATTTACACTTGCAAAACTAATTTTGACAATCTTCAAAAAGCTGCAGTCGAAAACTTTACAAAGACATTTAACTGCAGTGAAGAAATTTTTAGGAAATATGTCAAAATAATATCGAACTGGAACGTGAAAAAAGCGGGAAAACTACAGCTGAACAAGAAATTTGTTCAACGCGTAATTGCGTTGCAACTACTCACTACTGAGATTGAGTCTATAAGTGATGGTTTAGTCAGTGACAAAATGCGAGTTCTTCGGGACGCTATTCGCTACTTCGACATCACTTTCTTTAAAAACAATAAAATGGATGTAGTAAAACAATTGTGGGGCGATATGAGCAGTCAAGTCAATGGAGCGGAAGAACTAAATAAAATTAGAGAGACTTATCAACTTTCTTCTGATTATATCGACACCGTCGACAATTTAAACAGCAAGATGTTAACGAAACTGCTGTGGTTGATGGACAAATGTCCGTTGATCGTAAGAGAAAATGAAAATGTGACGAAAGTTATTCAGGTTTGCAGTGATGAAAAGTTTGTCGTACTTTCCGACAGGGAAATTGAGGAGTCGATGGAAAATCGTCTGGTATTCCAAAACTTGTCTGACTTAAAATTAAAACCAGAGGCCTATGAACAAGTGATGACAGCCTTTAGAGTCTCGTCGGGAGGAAACGAAGAACTTAATTTGAAGACTGCTTTCGAGGATAATGACACAATTTTAAAATGTGTGACAACCGACGATCTATTGGATATGTTAGACGGACCATTACGTCGTATGTACAAAAGGAAAAGTTATGTTGGTCTCATATCGAGCGACGTTTAAGACGGGCCATTGTAGATGTTGAATACTTAGACCATGTCAACGACGAGACCAATTTGAAATTTTGAAAGCAATATTGAGCGAGTGAATTAACTCAGCAAATATAATGCGATAAATAATAATTTTTAAACTGATATCGACTTTCCTTAAACAAGAAGTCTCGGGAGGACATACTATTTTTAAGAATTTAAGTGAGTAATCGGAAAAAAAAATATTTTTTGTTTAAAAATTATCGAGTATAATATAACAGGATTTTTGTATTCTTTAGAAAAACTTCCAACTCAAGTGTGTCCATCCTATTAATTTGCTTACTGTTGAATAATCCACAAAAAGGCCATTAAAGGTAACTTCTACCTAATAATTTTTCAAAATGAATTTTAATTACAATTGTAGGAAATCCACCATTCCATGTCTTCGAGCGTTGATTGTTTCACTCATCGTTGGTAATAATTTGCACCATATAAATTCTACTTGGGTTGCGCAATAACAGTGTCCATGATCAAGTGTTAGCAAAATTTGGTCAGTTTTCCAAAGTGGAATTTTTTTCATTAAGACACAGTGTTTCCTGCACAAAATCTGTATAGATTATGTGTCCAAACTGATGCAACTATGAAACATGTCTATGCTTCGTACGAAAAGTACAACATTAAAAATTGTAAGACAGGTACGGGTAAACACCTTAGGGGAAACTGTTAATAGTGCATGCAAGTGAGTTACGCCTTGAACAAAGAAACACCCAAGGTCGTGGACAAATTTGTCTTCTTTTTTGTTTGTATTTAAGCATGTTCGAACAATAAGTAAATTTAGTATTAGCAATGTAAAAATCATTAATTTTCAAAAATGTATTTGTTTTATTATTGTTATTATTACAGTTATTATTTTGTTTACGTATTTTTCTAATTTAGTTTACTATTGTTTATCGTTGCACTATAATTGCGAACTTTCTTGTTCGACGACAAAGTGTACTGTTATTTTATTTGATATGTTGTTACCAAGACTTGTTAACACTGCAGTTTTGTACAGAAACTTTGACGTATTGAAGAACTATAACTATGAAATGTTAACAAGTTAAGATGGCGATGGAAGAAGTGCTTTCCACTTACTTTACTCCTAGGGACGAAGACATTAGCGCCTAAATGTAGCGAGGTCCAAAATAAGAAATATTTTTTCGTATTTTGTTTTTGTCTTGGATAAAAAACTCACTTCTTCGAAAAGCAACCCTAGTGAGAAGTACACTATCGATGATGGCGACGAAATTTTTGAATGGAAATTAGAAACAAGAGATTATTTAACTGGAGTGGTTTACTTATTGAATAAATGTGGCACTTCAGAGCCGGATGGGCTATTTTAAATGACTCCTTTGTCGTATGCCAGAGTTAGTGAAAGTTTAGGAGCGGAACTGGAATTGTTGCAGTCAGGAATGTTGCAACCAGAGCAGGAATACAATCAATGTGATAGAATTAAGTCTGTATGGTTATGACATGACAATGCGATTCAAATGGTTGTTACTAAGCAATTACCAACTTTTTGCCAGGAGGTAAACTTTAGTACTATATCTGGTTGCACCCCTCTTGCTCTAACGTCGTCAAGAGGGCACACCAGCAGTCGCTCAGTTTTTGTTACAATGCCAAGCCGAAGTCAATCACCCTGATAAACATGGTCAAACCCCACTTCACTCAGCTTGTTCCAACGACCACGAATAGACTGTCAAATGCTTAATTAAGTTCGGAGCTGCACTCAATCACCCTGATATTGTCGGCTGTACACCACTTTACGTAGCTTGTTTGAATGGCCACCAATATAGTAATATAACAGGTTATTAATAGTATTACTGCACCAACCTAAGTTGACATACATGTTCTTGCAAAAATGATGATTGTCGTCATCACAAAATTTTCTAAAGTAAAAACTTATTTGAAACAGGCGTAGCATGATTCTTTAAATTTACTTTAGCATTACATATTTACGTATGTTTATTACTTATATATTATATAAATTTTATAATTTTTCGAAAATGCTGACTGTGTTTCACTGTACTTCAGGAGTGAGGGAAGTTCTATCGAAACAACTTTCGACGATTTTTTTACAGGATGACGTCATCAACATTTTTGCAAGGACATGTAGGTATATAATTTTCGGGAAAGTAGAGTGAGCCAATCCTGATCTAGTTAATAAAATACTATGTAGATTGACTCTTTCATTAATTTTTTTGAGATCCTGTATAAGCAGTTTTAAAAGATAGGAATCAAATGATAAATCGCAAATATAGACTCCTTCATTATTTTTTTGAAGGACACCCTGTATAAACAATTGTAAAAAATATGAATCCAATGATAAATAGCAAGTATAGACTCATCATATTTTGCACATCCTTGATAGGATTTATTCGGCAAAACTTTGAGATGACGTCATCAATTGTTACAAATATATTTTGGTAAAAAATTTACCATACTTAGGACAACTTTAAAACGTTTACAAGATATGAAAGCATTCGGTATGCAGTTTGAAAATTAAATTTCAAAAAGTGCGAGGTTAGGAAAACTACCACAAACTGGTGGATTCAGTATAATAAGTATAATTGATCAGATTGTACCCAACAGGTTGGGAAAAGCAAGCAGCGAATAAAGAATTGGTTGTGACGCTGTGTTTTTCTAAATTTAGGGAAAAACAAGCCAATACAAATACCTACATTTAATGAAAGTTATATGTACGTCGATAAGTTTTCTGCTGTTTAAACATTATTTTTTAAGTTTATCTGTTGCGTCAAATAAAAATACATGTCTCCCGTAAATCCTCTGTTTTGTTGGAGCAAACATGGGGCTGATAACCGCGTTTGTCGCTTCAACTGACCAGTTATAAAATTGTTTAAAAATCACAACTTCAAAAATGAGAACCAATCAATTCAAGTTATGTGTACGCCGATAAGATCTCTGCTGTTTAAACATTATTTTTGTTTGTTGCGTCAAATAAAATTACATGGCTTCGGAAAAACGTGTGTTTTTTTGGAGCAAACATCACGCTGATAACCGTCTTTCTCGATTCAGTTATAAAATTGTTTAAAAATTACGACTTCAAAAATGACGACAAATTTAAATGCTTAGGTAAGTAAAAGAAAAAGCTCTTCTGATCGTATATATATATTAAAGACAAGAGAGGTTTTACGTCAATCCCGGGCATGAAGGGCATTAATACAATTTCCAGTAAAAATCTATATAAAAATATTTTTGCTCATAAAAACTTTGTCACCCCCTTTCATCTTCATAGGGGTGGAATCTCGAAACAATCTGAAATATTTTCTGTGTTTCATTATTTGTGTTGAAGAGTATTAATACCAAGTTCCCCGTAAAAATTTAAATTTACAGTAGAAATTTTGCCACCAGTTTTCACCCCCTTAGGGGTTGCTCTCGGAAAATGCTTAAATATATGTTTCATTATTTGTATTGAAGAGCTAGGGGATGAATTTCGAGAAATCCTGTCTGGGCGTTGATAGGTCAAGTGTTTTAAAAATTTCGGAGTAGAATATTGCTTCTACGTAGGAATTGTTTTCAGAGATGGACCTCACTAGAACAAAAGAATTGGCAATCTCAATTAAAAATTATCATAGTCAATTGTTAGAGCAACTTAAATTTGTGGACTGTGGAAACACGTATCAAATAGCAGAATCATCTGATAGAAAGTGTCATGAGTTTTTAGAAGAACTCCAGCGATTAGAGCACAAAGTCGTAAGTACGAGTAAATCTCTACTTTTTAGTAAGAAAAAATCTATAATATATGATGTTCCTATTTGTCTAAGCTTCATTTAAATTTATTAATCATAAAATTCAAAAATACTTATTTCCATATAAACAACATCATTTAAGCCGACTTAGTTTGAACATCTGAAGAAAAATAATTAATTTTACCATTAGAAAACATGTACCTTACTGTGTTCAATTTTTTAGGAATTTTCACAGAAAATACTTAATATAATCTAACACTTTGTCACCATTTTCATAGCTTATAGTATTTTTGTAGTAACAACTTCGAAAATTTTTTCATCTATTCGAAACAACTGAACTTGGATGCATTACAAAAAACAATCAAGTCAGAATTTGATAAACTACTGGTTTCTGAGATTTCAAACGACGTATTTCTGCAATATATACACTTTGTTGAAAACTGGAATATGGTAGAAAGCGAAAAGGAAAAACTCGACAAAACAATGATGGCACGATTGTTGGCTCTTCAGATAGCGACTCCTTCAATTTGCGCTATATATATCCTTTGAAACGGCAAACATTAATCTAGAAAATGCCAAGTATCTACAGCAAGCAATTTCTAAATTTCATCTGACAGTTTTTAACAGTGAGTCATGCGAAAACGTACAAAGTCTTTGGAGTAATTTAAAGGATGAGTTTGACAGTAAGGCCATTAATGACTTAAATGACGAGAGAAAAAGATACCCCATTAAAACAAAATATGTAAATAACATAAGCGAGCTGAATAGTATTAGTGGTATCGAATGGGCTAAACTACTTTGGTTGATGAACAAGTGTCCTTTAATTTTGAAGGAAAGTTCCTGTGCTTACAAAGCTATCAATATCTGTAAAGACCGATCGTTCGTAATGGTTGCAAAAAATTTTTCCAAGAAGGAATTAAACGACGGTTCAATTTTTCTACAGTTAGCAAATATTTAAAATGATAATGATTTAACAAATTTGAAGATGAATTTTGAGTGTCGGTTCAAAAGTCAAACAATCAAGTTAGAAGAACTTACTGAAGGTCATAAAGGATTCCAGAGGTTCATATCCACAGATATATTGTTGGAAATGGTTCGAGGTCCTTACGAGGTTAAAGAATTAGAAGACTCTGCTCAAAATCTGCCGCTAGAAGCCTGGAGGACTGCGAGGTCATGCACTGTCGCCCACTGTTCAACCTGCAGGAAGTTCTGATATGACACCGTTATAGTGACTCCTGGAAGAAAATAGGCCCAAATAGGCGTCTTCGAGAAATGGCACACCAAATTCCAATGTTTTCTGGATATAATTTTTGCAGATATATTTTGAAACACAATAAATGAATATTCGGGAAAGTTGTTCTACACATCCAGCCTTAAACAAACAAAATAATAGAGATGGATAATAGACACCAAAAGCAAACAAAAAACAAAACAACTTTTACAGTACTTTATTGAAGTAGTCGAGTCATTACCACATTGACCTTGATAGACATGCGTAAAATTATTTGAACAATTAAGGTACGACTAAATAAATTTTCCAATTTTAAAGCTAACAGATTTATTTGAACTCGATAAAGAGACAATTTTTATTTGCAGTGATACAGTGATGTGCTGAACGCAAAATAATAAAATAAATAAAGGCTGCTGATCTTAAAACTACTGAATTTAGTATATTAAGTCATGCTTTTTAAACGTAATTCATTTTGTAAGACAAAGGAAACGCTGTATTAATAACTCTTTAAATCAAAAGGAAAATATAAGAAAAAGCTGAACATGTTGTACTGTGGTACTTTAACAGCGAGAGAAAAATTTCAAACCAATTTTGATGTTAGTTTATCTTTTGCGTTAAATAAATGTACACACCTTTGGGAAATCTCAAGTGGCTTGATAACACAAACACCGAATTTCAACGGTGATAACAGTCACTAAAACATCAATAGAGCGTTTACAAAAATGATTTAAATAGAACAACTCCAAAAGTAGCAGCTAGTCAACCGTGAACCCACAGTGAAACATATCAGAACAGAGAAAAATTAGAAGCTTAGGTAAGTAAAATAACATTAAATTAACATCCATTTCATTATTGCTTCTTTCGGGAAATAAGACATGATTGTTTTAATTCTTAAGTTAGTAGCAACAAAAACACTTAAAACAGATACCTATCTGTAAATTATGTAGAAATTTCGTTTCTAATTTCCATTATAAAGATGAATATGAGTATCATGTGTTCTAATTAACTTCCAGGTTTGTGTATTCGCGCAGTTATCACCATGGAAGACAAAACCGGAAGTTTAGAAGAAAATTTACAACCTCAAGGAAATGCATCTTTGACGAAAAAGGTATTAAACTTTCTAGTTTATAATAACCCCATTGTAAGTCGAAAGAGTACAAAAGTATTCTTTTTCGATAAATACAATTAACTAATTTACATTTTTTTATTACGTTTTAGAATTTTCGGAAAAGATCTGGAACAACAGACAAAGGAAAGAAGTACGAAAATATGATAATTGCCAACATCGTACTTCGTATGGTAAGCACCGAAAAAGTAAAAAACTTCTACGTTTCGTCGAACGATGCAAATTTTGGAGCCTTCGATGATGTAGTCATTGAAGTGGAAACAAATAAAGGAATCCAATCAATGGCCGTACAGTTAAAACACAGCAATAAACCAGGAAATTTAGTTATAGCACGACTAGCAAGCGAAAAGGGAGATTTTAGTATCCTAAAATATTTTAAGTCGTTCCAAGAGATAAAGAAAAAACCACAACAATGTATTCTGTTCACGAACCTTAAATTAAACATATTCGAAGACACAAAATTTCAAATAGACGGAAAACAATTTTACTTGAAACCTTATAAAATAGAAATTGCTGATGATAGTTTCAAACTTTCTCAACATATAAATTACTGTTATAAATTTCGAATTGTAGAAGACGAAGATGCAGGAGAAGTTGATTCAGAACTTCAACAGTTTAAGGAATTTCTTGAAAGCTTTAGCCTTTACTCTGATCAACAAAGTCTCGAAACACTTGAAAATTCTACAGCGAATGACTTCGTGAAGATGTTTTGGTCGAATCAAGAAACGTTCGAAAAATATCTGAAGATTATATCTGAGTGGGATATGCAAGAAGGATCAAAAATAAAGTTAGATAAGAAAATGATGCGACGTGCAGTTGCACTTTGTCTGTTGTCTCCATACGTAGAGAATTTCACTTCTGGAGAAGTAAGCGATAGAGGGAAATTTCTTCGAGAAGCAATTTGTCCATTCGACATTACGCTGTTGGAAAACGTAGAGTGCGATGTGACTAAACGGTTGTGGGGCGACTTGGACAAGAATATTGACATCGAAGAACTAAACAAACTGAGATCATTTAATCGTCTTTCTCCTAATTGTATATCTCGGATGGAAGATGTAGACGGAAATGTGTTGGCACAGTTGTTGTGGTTGATCGAGAAACGTCCGCTGATTGTAAAAGAGCACGAAAATATAGAAAAAGCAGTTCAACTTTGTCCGGATGGAAAATTCGTTTTGCTTGGTGAAGGAAAATGGAAAGAATGGATGAGAGGTCGCTCCGTGTTCCAGAACTTGTTGGACTTGAAATCCGAAGATAATTTATATGAAAGAGTGATGCAGAATTTTACCGTTTCCTTGCAAGGGAAAGCAGTGCTTACTCTGATGGACGCGTGTGGAAGAAATGAAGAATTCTTGAAGAATATTAGTGTAAATAATCTTTTAGAAATGATGGACGGCGCACGTGTCATAGACGGGGTAAAAGAAGCTCTTCCCAATCCTTATATTGAAAGGTATTTGTCGTTAAATGTGATAGACATTAATTATTTAAAACAGGTTAATCATAATACGGTAGTTATTCTAAGTTGCACAGACGGTTCGAAGGAAATACAAAAATTTACAAAAATTAAACTAACAAAGTTCGATGATTACTTAAATAACGCAGAGTGTACAACTTCCAATGCTCCAATTTTCATTATAAGTGAAAATAAATGCAGCGAATCTGAATTTCAGAAAATATGCTCTAAAACACCAGAGTCCAAGATTGTACATTATTTTAAATTTTTTAAAAATACACATTTAGAATGGGTACGAAGCAGAGGCAGTGTACGAGAATTACAAAATTACAAATTATCTGATCATTCTAAAAACGAAAACGAGTTTTGGACTTTCGACTTTAGCAACAGCATTTGACATGTTGTTGGCAAAAAACTCACCACTTCACACTGCAGTCTTGTACAGGAACTTTGACGTCCTAGAAATAAGTAACGAAGAAATATTGGCGTGTAAAGACGAGGGTGGAAGAAGTGTTCTACATTTGATTTGCTCGTGGGGAAAAAGATATCCACGCCTAACATTAACGAGTTCTAAAATAAATAAAACATTTTCAAGTTATATTTCTACTTTGCCCAAAAAAATGTCTTTTTCGAAAACGATACCTAATATGAGACATACCCTCGATGACTGCGATGAAGTTTCTAAAGGGGAATTAGAAACAAAGGAATATTTAGAAGCAGTGCAACATTTGTTGAAAAAATGTAATATTTCAGAACCGGATGGGTTATTTAAAATGACGCCGTTGTTATTTGCTAGAGTCAGCGAAAGTTTAAGTGCGGAACTGGAATTGTTACAGTCAGAAAAGTTTAAGCCAGAACATCTTTATAATCAATCTGATAGAATTAATATTTTGTTTTATTCTAGTCTGTTCGGTTATGATAATGCAATTAAAATTGTTTGTACTAAGCAATTAAATGGTTATTACGATGAAGTCAATTTTAGTTGTCGGTCTGGTCTCACAGCCCTTATGGTAGCGTCCGCAAATGGCCACACAGCGATAGTTGAACATTTGTTGCAACTCGGGTCAAAAGTCAATTGTGCTGATGAAGATGGCCAGACGCCTCTTTACGCAGCTTGCTCCAACGGCCATGAAGAAATTGTTGAATGCTTAATAAAATGTGGAGCAGATATCAATCGCGCTAATAATCAGCGTCGCACACCTCTTTACGCGGCTGCGAAAAATGACCATCACAAAATTGTAGTATGTCTAATGAAACACGGGGCCAAAATCAATCACTCGGATCAATATAATCAGACACCACTTTACTTAGCTTCTTTCAATGGCCACGAAAAAGTTGTTGAATGTCTAGTGGAATGCGGAGCCAAAATCAACGGTTCTTCTGTTGATGGCCAGACACCACTTCATGCAGCTGCCTCGAACGGTTACGAAACCATTGTCAGATGTCTAGTGAAGCACGGGGCCGAAATCAACAGCTCTGATAAATACGGTTGGACACCAATTTACTCAGCTTCGTCAAAAGGCCACGAAAAAATTGTCGAGTATCTAACGAAATGCGGAGCCGAAATCAATCGCCCTGATGATTACGGTGAGACACCACTTTACGCGGCTTCTTCCAACGGAAGCGAAAAAATGGTCGAATGTTTGGTGAAATGCGGGGCCGAAATTAATCGCGTTCATAACTATGGTCGGACACCGCTTTACGCAGCGGCCTCAAACGGCCACGAAAAAACCGTCGAATGTTTGGTCAAATGTGGAGCCACAATCAACAACGTTGATAATCAAGGTAGTACACCACTTTACGCAGCTTCTTCGAATGGCCACAAAAAAACTGTCGAGTGTCTGGTGAAATCCGGAGCCGAAGTTAATCACCCTGATAATGCTCGCTCGCTACCGCTTCACATAGCTTCCTGGAACGGTGACAAACAAATTGTCGAATGTCTAGTGACATATGGGTCTGAAATCCATCGCGCTGATAATGGTGGTAAGACACCGCTTCATCTAGCTTCCTGCAACGGCGACGTAGGAACTGTCCATTGCCTAGTGAAATGTGGGGCCGAAATCAATCACTCTTCAAAAGATGGTAAGACACCACTCCACATGGCTTCATCGGAAGGCCACGAAAAAACCGTTGAATGCCTAGTGACATGCGGAGCCGAGATCAATCGCGTTGATAATTTTGGTCGGACACCACTTTATGCAGCTGCCAATAACGGCCACGAAAAAGCTGTCGATTGTCTAGTGAAACACCAAGCCGAAATCAACCGCACTGATGATAATGGCCGGACAGCGCTCCACTTAGCTTCCTGGCAAGGCCATGAAAGAACTGTCCAATGTCTTGTAAAACTTGGCGCCGAACTCAACCACGTTGACAATTATGCTTGGACACCGCTTTATGCAGCTTCCAAAATAGGCTCCAAAAAGATTGTCGATTTTTTAGTGAAATCCGGAGCCGAAATCAATCTAACTGACAATGATGGTTGGACACCGCTTCATGTAGCTTCCCGGATGGGCCACCTCAAAACCGTCGAATGCCTGTTGACATCGGGAGCCGACATCAATCGCCCTAGTAAAAACGATGAGACACCTCTTTACTTAGCTTCGTTCAACCTCCACGAAAAAGTTGTCAAATGTCTAGTCAAACACGGAGGCGATATCAATCGCACTAATAAAGATGGTCACACATTGCTTCACGTGGCTTCCTTGAAGAGTCGTGAAAAAATTGTCGAATGTCTAGTGAAATGTGGAGCCGAAATCAATCGCGTTGACAATGACGGTTTGACACCGCTTCACTTAGCTTCTTGGAACGGTCACCACAAAATTGTCGAATATTTAGTCAAATGCGGAGCCGAAATCAATCGGGCTAATGATGATGATCGGACACCACTTCACCTAGCGTGCTTGAATGGCCACGAAATGGTTGTCGAATGCCTAATCAAATATAGAGCCGAAATCAATTTCATTTCTAAAAATGGTTTTACACCGCTTGATATCGCCATTTTCATGGATCATACTAAAACAGTAAACTTTTTAAAAGAAAAATTCGCCAAAAAAACTGGATCTTATGACATAGATAACTGAACCTTCATAGTGGTAAAATTTTGTTTGGTTATGAATGGTAAAACGGTAAGTTTCTCTGGTCGTCCTCACCAACAATTTGATGACGTCATTTCATAATAAATTCTTTTAAATTTTTAAAAATTAACACACATGGCTCATGAATCAAATTTTGTAATTTTTGCAAGAAACTGTTTTTTACTTCAAAAAGAATGTTTATTTCATCAATTTGAGGACATGGTAATACTGTACCTTTTTGGTTTTTGGACAAGAACAAAAAAGTTTTGAGTGGTGCACTATTTCAATGTGAGCAAAATATTTTCAGTGAAATAATAGGAGTTTTTGGCGTGTTGTTAAATTTTCGAGCTAGTCAACAATTGTGTGTTATCGTATGTGTATCCAGAGAATATCTGAAGATAACTTTTCCACACCTTTCAAAATAATATTTTATTTTACATTTATGAAAAAATGGCAATAGCTTCCCCAATCTAGGTCTATAAAAACTGGGTGGTATATAATATTAATAAATCATGTCACTATAATACCCATGAGGTATTCTTATTTCTCGAAATATAACAACTGTAAAATACGACGAGAAGGAAATCGCCTTGATCAAATTCGCTTATTGCTTGTAAGAATCAAAACTTTATTCGATACTTCTAGTAAGATGATATTCCTTCGCATCATCGTAATTTTTAGTTTAATTTTAATTTTGTTATTTATAAGTAAAGTTGTATAATTTTCTATGAAATTACTTAGCATATGTATAGATAAGACGTGTTTTCGATCCTTGTATGTAATAAATTGTGTAGTGCTTAGTTATTTAAGGAACAAGTTGGTTAATGAATATGTGATGGAGATTTAAAAAAAAAGAAAAAACAATTAAATCATTCAAATAAATATACATTTTTAGTCATCTTATTTATGAGTCCTATTCTCCCATTTCAAATTCCAAAACTGGTAGATTACAATCAAAACAAAACGATAATTACAGAGTGTTTTACTTCCCGAGCGTAAGCAAAGGAAGTATAGTAATCGAGTCCGTCGACCGACTCTCTACTTTTACGTTTTCTCGATCTTTCATGACTCCTAGAATACGAAGAAATAGGTCTCCCATTCCCGTCTGTCTGTCCGTCTGTCCGTCCGTCTGTCCGTCTGTCCGTCTGTCCGTCTGTCCGTCTGTCCGTCTATCCGTCTGTCCGTCTGTTTGCCGTCCCGGATTTTTATTAGACACATAATCTCCGAAAGTACTGGACCGATTGTTGTGAAATTTTGTACTTATATTAAGAATATCATGTAGATGGTAAAACGCTAACCAAAATTTGTCTAATCATCCCCACCACTAATGCGATGACGTCACTTCAAAATTGTACATACTAAAGAGGTTTTCAATTGTATAAAATAACATAGTCCTACACATGTAGTTTACAACTCCGAATCGACTTTTCACCCGAAACGTCCAGATTTTTGGAAAAAAAATCAAAAATTATAAAACAACATTTTGAAATTTAATTTTTAATCTGCTAACCAGAATGCTTTGAAATGTTGCAGATGTTTTAAGGCTATAAAGAGCATCATAAATCTTTAGTCAAAAAATATTTGCTTATCCCCTCCAAAAATTTGATGACGTCAGCTCAAAAGTTTGTGGAATAAATCATATCTAAAATGTACAAAATATGATGAGTCTGTACTTGTGATCTATCACTCCATTCATATTTTTTGGATTTGCATATACAGGGTGACTCAAAAAAATTAATGAATGCGTAAATTTATTTTACTGATTTACTCAGGAACTACAAAACCGAATGCTTTGAAGTCTTGCAGATGTTTTAAGGTTATAAAGAGCATAATAAATGTTTAGTCAAAATATATTTGCTTATCCCCTCCAAAAAATTGATGACGTCAGCTCGAAAGTTTGCTGAATAAATCCTATCTAAACTGTAAAAATATGATGAGTCTGTACTTGTAATTTATCACTCCATTCATATTTTTTGGATTTGCATATACAGGGTGACCCAAAAAAATTAATGAATGCGTAAATATATTTTATTGATTTAATCAGGAACTACAAAACCGAATGCTCTGAAATCTTGCAGATGTTTTAAGGTTATAAAGAGCATAATAAATGTTTAGTCAAAATAGATCTGCTTATCCCCTCCAAAAACTTGATGACGTCAGCTCGAAAGTTTGCCGAATAAATCATATCTAAAATGTACAAAATATAATGAGTCTGTGCTTGTGATCTATCACTCCATTCATATTTTTTGGATTTGCATGTACAGGGTGACTCAAAAAAATTAATGAATGCGTCAATTTATTTTATTGATTTACTCAGGAACTACAAAACCGAATTCTTTGAAATCTACTGCGAAAAAAAAACATAATAGGCATGCAGTCGTCACTTTTCCGATAGCGAGGGAAGTACTGTCTAAACTCTTTAGACCAATTTTTTGTAGTTTTTATTTTTTTTTATCCAAAAATCGACAAATCGAGAGAATAAAAAATCTAAAATTTAATAATTAAAATATAGTTAGAAAATTGAACACCGAAAAATTGAAAAATCGGAAAATCAGAAGATCCAAAAAACGACAATGGCAAAATTGAGAAAACGAGAAGTGGAAATATCGAAAAATTGGAAAATCGAGAAAAAATGAAGAATCTGAAAACTTAAAATCCCAAAAATAAAATATCAAAAAATTGAGAAATCTAAAAATTAGAAAATTGAAAAATCAAAAAACTGAAATTTAACATAACGTAAGATAAGATAAGTTTAATGTACAACAATACAAAAGACAGTGCATACTGATAAATAACTTAACTAACCTAAGTATAAAACAAATGAAGTCGTACATAAAAACTTAAAATAATAACATAAAATAGGACGTCGAGAAATTAAAAAAATTCCAAACTAAAATGACGAAAAATTGGGAAATTTGAAAACTGGAAAAGTGAAAAATCAAAATATCAAAGAATTGAGAAATCTAAAAATCTGAAAATCGAAAAAGCGAAAAATCAGGAAATCGAAAAATTCAAAATTTTGAGGAGTCAAAACATAAAAAAAAGCGAAAAATTCGAAAACTAAAATGACGAAAAATTGAGAAATCGGGAAAACGGAAGAACTGATAAATGGAAAAGTCTTATCATTGAAAAGTCGATTTTTCGTTTTATGACTTCTTTCAGCCACATCATGTTGAACTTAGATCCAGAAACCAGATTAAAGACCCGTTGAAAACGCCGTTTGGAATTTCTTGGAGTTTGTGTCCGGATAGACGTAAGGTGAGTAGATTGGGAAGGTTTGCCAGATCGCCTGGACGAACTCTAGAAATAGAATTGTTATCCAAATCGAGATAGCGCAGATCTTGTAGAGTAAACGCGTCGGGATTAATTTCTTCCAATTTATTATTAGACAAGAGTAATTTAGTACCGGACCAATCCAGTTTTACGTAAAGACCGTCAAAGGCACCTACTTCTACTTGAGAAATGTGGTTGTTTCTGAAATCGAAGCTCCAAATAGACATATTGTTGAAAACTTGTTTGTTCATCTTTTTCAAAGAGTTATTTTGTAAATCTAGTTGTATCAGTTGTGCCATATTTTAGAAAGCACGTTTCTCTAGATTCGAAATCGAGTTGTTTTCGAGCAACAAATGTGAAACATTCAAATCGCAAAAAATACCAGTTTTGATTTCTTTAAAGCGTTATAACCTAAATCCAAATAATCCAACTGAGGCACGTTTTTAATTGCTCCTGGTTTTATTTCTTTTAAATTAATTCCTGCCATTTCTAGTTTGATTAAATTCGGTAGGTTGGTGATGGAATTTTCGAAAATCGTCCCCGTTGAACTTCGAATGGACAGACTGATTTTGTGAGTGAAATTGTGGGCGCAAGAATTTTGCAGATTTGTGGTTACGGTTTCTTGTTTTGAAGTTGCATCTGGTAGCCAAGTGCAAACTATTGTTACTCCTTTGAATGTTGATGAACTCTGATAAACCCATTTTACAACAAAAACGAGTAAGAAAATCGTGTTCTTGACGTTTTTACACATGGTCACACTTTGTGTTGTGATTATTGGAATGGAGTGAAAATGTGTAAGTGGAATGGAACGATATACACCTAGGTAAGAAATAAATAAAATGTATAAATAGATGCTACCCATGGCAATTATTTTTATAATGTTCTTATCTTATCACTGTTACGATTTGAGTGCATCAAATTTCGCTGGATATATTTAGGTACTAACACAAAGCCTAAAAATTTGATCAACTCAGTAGTTTGGTTGCATAAAGATGATTGAATAAGAAAAAGTTATTAAACATGTATAACAATGAGAGGGCACAATTTTCGTGAAAGTTCGATGACTCCGTTTCTTAATTGTATTGATTGAAAAAGAATAGTTTTGTGCTCTAGAAAGCTTAATACCTTTTTCGTCCAAGATGCATTTTCTTCTTGGTGTAAATTTTCTTCTAAGTTTCCGGTTTTGTCTTCCATGGTGATAACTAAGTGAATACGCAAACCTGGAAATTAAGTAGAAACATGTTTATTTTCATCTTCATAATGAAAATTACATTTACTAGTATGTAGGTATACAGTTTTAAAACTAATTTAGAAAATAAATCAAGCGTGTCCTATTTTCCGAAAGAAGAAAAAATAGTGAAATGTGCGTTAATTTAATGCTGTTTTACTTACCTTAAGCTTTTAATTTTTCTCTTGTTTGATATGTTTCACAAGAAGTTATAAATTTGAAGGCGACGTTTTTTCTACTTAACTTTGAATCTGTAGATTCACAGTTTGACTGGCTGTACTTCAGGAATTGTTGTATTCAAATTATTATCTTTATCGATGTTTTAATGATTGTTATCAGCGTTCAAATTCGTTGTTTGTCTTATCAAACCACTTGAGATTTCCCAACGGTGTGTACATTTTGACGCAAAAGATAAATCAAACTTCAAAATTGATCTGAGATGATTCTCAGTATATTCGCCTATTTGGGCATATTTTCTTCCAGGAGTGACTACAACGGTGTCAATCAGAACTTGTTGTGCAGATTGAAAAGTGGGCGACAGTTCATGACTTTGCTGAGTTAGGTTGACGAAAAACGATTTGTTGATTCCTTGTTATACGCAAGCTGTCAAAGGCGATTTTGTTTAAATTTCCTATTAATCGCCAAAATTCCTCCGAAGAAGGTCAATCAAGTAATAATTGTATATAAGTGTTTGAACAGACGTCAAAGGATATGCATTGGCGAACAAGGATTTAGTTGTCACTGAATCTTAATTTTGAATAAATTTTTCCAATACAAAGTTTCTTTTTATAGACTTTGGGCTTGTCAACGAAGAGGCGTGGGAAGAAATAGAAAGTTTCAAAGTGGGGAAAAGGGTAGAATCAGATCACATGCCACTAGAAATAAACATCAAAGGAAAAGAGCAAGAGTACGAAAAACAAGAGAGGAGAAACGAAAGAAACGAAATAGAAAAAAAATGGGATAAAGAGGGAATTCAAAGATATAGAAGTAGACTAGAAAAAAAATTGGTCTAAAGAGTTTAGACAGTACTTCCCTCGCTGTCGGAAACTTGACGACTGCATGCCTATTGTGTTTTTTTTCTCATTACATTTTTGTAGTGGGAATTTAAAAAAAAATTGCGATGACGTTATCAACATTTTTGCAAGGACACGTATATCAGTTGGGATAGATGTAGTGTAATACTAAGAATAAAATTATTGTATTCCCAAATTTTCGGGAAAATGAATTGGGTCGTTTTGAATATTGATTTGTAATAATCAATAAAATAACGAAATAATTTACTCACGTATACGTATCAGAGGCAACTGAAAATCGTGTATGTATAAACATTCTTAATTTAAGATGACAGGCGTAACAGCATACGTGAGAGTCAAACAGAGAAACTGTAAACAAAACAACCATCGGTTTTATTGCTTCGATTTCCGCTTATTATATAAAACATTGGGTTTTATTTTAATTCTTGACGGTGAAATTCACAATTGGTTGATTATAAACATGTATATTTCACATTCGCGGAACCAAGTGAACGCATAAAACAAATGCAGGTCTGTAATGTTAAAGTCGATGTAAATAAGCGTGCTACCCTTAAGTTTCAACCGAGTTTTTCCTTTAACAGATTTTGTGTCTACCAAATTGGGTTGGTTGGGGTGTAATACTAATAATAAGTGTTGCCTTTAATTTAATCAATGAAATAAATTGACTTCATTAATTTTTTTTAACCACCTCTTAAGAAAATCTAAAAAATATGAATGGAATGATAAATCACAAGTACAAACTCATCATATTTTTTGCATTTTAGATAGGATTTATTCAGCAAAATTTAAGGGTGACGTCATCAATTTTTTTAGGAGGGATGAACAAATACATTTTGAACAAAAGTTTACCATGCTTATAATAACTTTAAAATATTTCCAAGATTTCAAAGCATTCGGTTTTGTAATTCCTGATTAAATCGATAAAATAAATTCACGCTTTCATTAATTTTTTTGAGTCACCCTGCATATGCAAATCCAAAAATATGAATGGAATGATAAATCACAAGTACAGACTCATCATATTTTGTACATTTTAGATACGATTCATTCGGCAAACTTTTGAGCTGACGTCATCAGTTTTTTGTAGAAGATAACCAAATATATTTTGACTAAAAATTTATTATGCTCTTTATAACCTTAAAACATCTGCAAGATTTCAAAGCATTCGGTTTTGTAGTTCCTGATTAAATCAATAAAATAAATTTACGCATTCATTAATTTTTTTGAGTCACCCTGTATATGCAAATCGAAAAAATATGAATGGAGTGATAGATCACAAGTACAGACTGATCATATTTTGCACATTTTAGATATGATTTATTCGGCAAATTTTCGAGCTGACGTCATCAAGTTTTTGGAGGGGATAAGCAAATATATTTTGACTAAACATTTATTATGCTCTTTGTAACCTTAAAACATCTGCAAGATGTCAGAGCATTCCGTTTTGTAGTTCCTGATTAAATCAATAAAATATATTTACGCATTCATTAATTTTTTTTAGTCACTCTGTATATGCAAATCCAAAAAATATGAATGGAGTGATAAATGACAAGTACAGGCTCATCATATTTTGTACATTTTAGATATGATTTATTCCACAAACTTTTGAGCTGACGTCATCAAGTTTTTGGAGGGGATAAGCAAATATTTTTTGACTAAAGATTTATGATGCTCTTTATAGCCTTAAAACATCTGCAACATTTCAAAGCATTCTGGTTAGCAGATTAAAAATTAAATTTCAAAATGTTGTTTTATAATTTTGATTTTTTTTCCAAAAAGCTGGACGTTTCGGATGAAAAGTCGATTGTTGTTGTAAACTACATGTGTAGGACTATGTTATTTTATATAATAGAAAACCTATTTACTATGTACAATTTTGAAGTGACGTCATCGCATTAGTGGTGGGGATGATTAGACAAATTTTGGTTAGCGTTTTACCATCTACATGATATTCTTAATATAAGTACAAAATTTCACAACAATCGGTCCAGTACTTTCGGAGATTATCTGTCTAATAAAAATCCGGGACGGCAGACGGACAGACGGACAGACGGACAGATGGACAGACGGACAGACGGACAGATGGACAGACGGACAGACGGACGGACAGACGGACGGACAGACGGACGGACAGACGGACGGACAGACGGACGGACAGACGGACGGACAGACGGAAATAGGAGACCTATTCTTCGTCTTCTAGGGGTCATGAAAGATCGAGAAAACGTAAAAGTAGAGAGTCGGCCGACGGACTCGATTACAATACTTCCTTTGCTTACGCTCGGGAAGTAAAAATGAAAGAACACGGTGGGCGGGGTTAAGTTTAACTTTTTTCTACAATCTTTTATTTACAGACAGTAACCCCGCCCGCCCACCCTCTATTTTATTAGAATCTATTCTATTAGCGTAATTTGTCAAAATTAGGCTTTTTTAAAATCAAATTTTATGGGTATAATTTTTCAGAAAAGCAGTATTTGTTGGGCTGTATTTCAGAAGCGAGGGAAGTTCTGTCGAAATAGCCTTCGACCAATTTTTTAGCCTATACATTGTAAATTGACAAATATAAACAATGTCTAGAAAAAGATTTCTATGAATATTTTAGTTGCCAATAATACATTGATAAATTAAAGATTTAAATTGTGACGTCGCGAATCGTGACGTCACGACATATTCAAACAAAGCGAATAGCTTCCCGAACATTCCCGAACGTGTTGTTGCGTCAGCCAGCCAGTATTTAACAATTTTTTTTAGCCTGTACATTGTAAATTAACAAATATAAACAAACAATGTCTAAAAAGATTTATGTAAACATTTTAGTTGCCAATAATACATTGATAAATTAAAGATTTAAATTGTGACGTCGGGGATCGTGACGTCACGACATATTCAAACAAAGGAATAGCTTCTCGAACATTCCCGAACGTGTTGTTGCGTCAGCCAACCAGTATTTAACAATTTTTTTAGCCTGTACATTGTAAATTAACAAATATAACAAACAATGTCTAAAAAGATTTATATAAACATTTTAGTTGTTATT